CCCCTCCCCTCCTCTCCTCTCCTCCCCTCCTCTCCTCCCCTCTCCTCTCCTCTCTTCTCTTCTCTTCTCTTCTCCTCTCCTCTCATCTCCTCTTATCAAAACTGCTCCCTTCCCTATCCAGAATCAAATCAAATATAGAAATATTTGATTTCAACACTAGGCTGTCGGATTTTGGCCAGGGGTTCTCTGACTTGTTGGTTTCCATGTGTGAGTTCTATCAACCTCTTCTTAATGGCATGATAAAAGTTAAAACTGCATCCATCCTGGGTTTGTTCTCTTCGCTGAAGTCATGCTTGTAAATTCTTGGAGCATCTGTTCCACCCCCACTGCTGTCTATGCATCTTGAGACATATATATGCATAGGTATAGATATCTATAGATCTATATATCTCTCTTTATATATATAGAGAGAGATGCGCTAACCCACAGCATCTGGCTGTAGCTAAACAGGAAATGGCAGTTTTAGTTCCTCTCTTCTTGTCCAACAGAAGTGTTGACTTCTAAAAATATTTTATCTAGACCTGTCCCAACGTTTTACTTTTGCTCCAGTTCTCTTTCTCTCTCTCTCTTTTTCTTTTTTCTTTTAAAAAAGTTCTGTTCATTATGCAAAACCAATTAGTTTAAGAATTGATCTTGTAAATATCTTTTGTGAATATTTTAGCCTTGTCATCGATTGTAATAGCCAACACTTTTTTACACGTGGTTTTAAAATACATAGTTTTTTTGGTTTTTTTTGCATTCTTTCTTCCCCCTGTCCCCAGATAAAGGAGGATTTTAAACTAAGGGAGCATTTATTTCTCTTTTTGATCTATTAGTCCCTATACATTTGTAAACCCACATGATCCATACGGCCGTGCAAAAAATAAAAATAACCAAGAATTATGACTGTCATAACATAGATCGCCTGCTTCATAGACAAATATGTTATTATTTTTTTTTTTTAAAAAAAAGATCCTTGTTTAAATACATCTGAGAATTATCCTTTATCCACACGTAAGAGAAAGCCTGACATCTGATATACCTTATAGTGCTTAGGGCTGTAGATGACAAATTCATGAGAACAGATAATAGAACTGCGAGAGGTTTTTCTTTTTAATCTAAGATATTTCCCCAAATTTATGCATCCTTCTTTGTGATCACTGAACCCCAGGAGCAGCTACGTATGGTTGCCCACACAAGCTTAGTAAAATAAAAAAAAAATGCTATTTTTTTTTTTAATGTCTGTCAACTGAGACCTTGAGTGTCTTCAGCTCAATGGATGCAATTTGCTGCGGGTCAATCTTAAGCCATAGACTAAGTGCTGTGTAATTCTACAAAACGGTCCCTTTATTATTAAGCACATATCTGTTCAAACGAGTACTTGAATCCATATTTTTTTTTTCCCTTCTTGCTTTTCCGTGTTAACTGGAAACCAAACTATTTTAAAAACAGGTGTGTTGAAGGATTAGGATTTGGCTCCTACGGATCTAGATGAAGCCTGTAAAAAGTAACTTTTTTTTTTTTTAAGGAAGCATAACAAGAGGAAAAACATCTACGACTGAGTCTGTTGTTGGTATAATAAGGCTTCCCCTTATTTGAAGGTTCGTCTCCTCGAATAANTGCTGATATGCATGAAATTCAAATCCATTCTGTGCTTGCTCCTCATTTCCTCTCTGGCAATAAACTTC